AAGGAATAATTCAAAGAACAATCAGCCTATAGTGGATAGATGGCGGACAACATGAATGATCGGATAAGCCATCGATCAACAAGATCGGGCCAACAGATGGGGAAAGGCAGGCGGAAACCGGGGGTGTTGTGGACTGGAATTTTGACTCATAAACGCGAGCGCGTGCGCAGCATGGTAACAGCGTGTTGGACAATAAAGATTGTGCTTTATTGGACGCCTTTTCGCTACAAAATGACCACGCACGCTCATTCTTTTAAGCTTGTCAGCATACACACATGGAGGTTTAGCGTTTGGGTGGGTTCAGTGACTTAATTTACTGAGTACTTGAAAGATGGGGCGCAACCCAGCCGAGGTATAAACTGATCACAGGCGTCACATTCCAGTAGACTTTTCGGTCAGTCCCTTTCGGAAAGAAACTATACTCAAGTGTCGCCTGTGCTAGAGTTCATCAGTTGTGTATATGCTTGCCACGACCAGGATTCGAACTTCGGTCACGTCTTTCATGAGGCAACTGTGTTGACCACTGCGTCGCCGAACTCAATCCAAGCATAACCAAATTACCCTATTCACATTCGTTAGTGAGTAACGCTCAGATTGTCTTTCAACTCAAATGTGAGAACTGTGATTAAAGGTACGGAGACCGATATTCATTTATGCCATTTGTGATGCGAGCATAAATGCAAAGGACAAATCACAATTTTCTCCAACATTTTGATTGGGAAAGACCACGGTGAGAATGGAGGACGTTTTTTAATGTAGAAACTTATTGAGCATTTATTTGCATGAGCAAGTCCAAACTGACCTCTTCCGACGTCAATTTCTCCACTTTAGCAAATTGGGTCTCTTCCAGATTTGCTGGCAACTCCCTGTAAAATATAAATTACAAACAGGTTTGGTTAGTCCGTGCACACTAGCCGTCCGAGTAACATCAAATGAAAACTGAACTAACTCAAGGGATTCGGGGTCCCAGCATCGTATCCGTGATTCGCGCATTGTATCACGGAAGAGGTTAATCAGATCAAAAATTCGACAAGCATGAGTAATTCATAATACCTCAAGCAAAATCCATGTATATCAAACCTGTTTTCAGGCTCTTTCTTTAGTTTTTTGTGGCCGTGAATAGCACTATGAGTACATAAAATTACTCGAGCTTTTCACGTAAGCAGCGTTTACATGCAGACAGTATGATCAGGTCTTCTTTCTACCATCAATTGCATATCCGAATGTAGTAGTTACCTAGAATAAATAACTGTTTATTAAATACTGGTGATCAGTAAACACTCGTGTTTGTTCACTATTATCAACCATTTATGTAAAGGTACATGGAACGATCCACAGAATAACCAAATCGTAGGTCTACCGAAGAGAATTCATGAAACGGATATTAGAGTCGCTGCGATCTTTGGTAAGAAGTGGAGGGTTTTGATCAACTTAAATTGAACATCATCCACCGTTGACTGTAGATTTTGCATTCCCACTGAATTTCCAGTCAGCCCCTTTTGAAAAGAATCACCATACCTGTATTCCGATTATGTTGCAACCGGTCAGTTGTTCCACGAAGTAGCAGAGTACTAAATAAGTATAAATATGGTGGGGAAAGCGAAAAGTAAGCTGACAAATAAGAAAAATTGAATTTCAGAAAAACGAAGA